AATTTAAAAAGAAGTAATTTGTCAATTACAGATCACGCATTGTAAACTAATTGCCACCTATAAGTTTGATGGTATAATTTGATTTTAAGGTGTAATTAACATTTATTTTAGTTTTACAGGGGTATAGACCAAATTAAATTTTAAAATATAATTGTACAATTTAGAATATGCTACGAAATTAGTAAAATTAAAATTGTTCTATGTATTATTGAAGACTATATTAATTTATTTAAAAATATCTTAAAAGGGGCGTTACAAAAGGCGTGGTTAAACTAACAAAAAGAAATACATAGGAAATTCAATTACAATTAAATGTTGAAAGTTTTAATCGTCTATCTTAAATATTCTAGGAATCAGACTTCATGCCTAAAAATCAAAGAGTATTTGCCCAAAGCTTTAAGGGGACGGAACGGAAGGCGTGGTCAAACTGCAAAAAAAAAAACCGAAATTCAGGCATAATATATTAGGCAAAGTTTCATGCCTCTATCTTCAAAATTAGAATTGATGCCAAAAAAATCGATTTTTTGCCCATAGTGCAGCGGTGGGAATATTCTCAGCTATTGCCGGCCTGTCTTTGTCCCTGATTTTAATTAACTTATTGGGCACTTTCGAATGGTTTAGTAAAACAAATGGTGCATCTGAGCCTTGGGAATTTGTAGCATTTGAGGCAAGCTTAGCGTCCTCTTCTTCGGAATTTTTCAAGAATAATTGCAACAGAAAAGGTGGTGAGTTGATCTGTGTAAATTATGCGGATTTGAGGTTAAATTAACTACTCTGCCTATAGACCCATATCATATACATAACTACAGAACGCACCAACCGATTTCCATGGTTTTGCAAAACAACAACGTATTCGTTTCCTAACATTTCAATTGGAAACCAGCATTTGTCTTTAAGCTGGTAAGTTGAACTGTGAAAATTTTGTGGATTTGAGGTTAAATTAACCACTTTGCCTATAGTTCAAAATGCCTAGAGCAAGACGTTTGAACATCGGTCTCCGCACAAGGCATGCATGCCAGCAACAAGTGTGTTCACAGAACTTAAGCGAGGAGAGACGAAATGTAGTAAGGGAAAATGCCCGATTGAGACAACGCGTGAGCACACGAAGATCAACTGGTGTGCAGCATCTAAGAGGATCCCAACCAGCGTGGCAGGCTCCTAACAGCAACAGTAACCATCGACCTCAGGACAAATGTCAAGAATCCTGAGATAGAGTGCTAGAAAAGATTCGTTATCAGAAGGTGTCGCGGGTGAGACTGTGCCCCCGGTGTTGCCCATATCCGTTTTGTCCACTGGAGGGTCCCAACAGTTGTCCTCTCAGAGCCCCAGATCCCTACCAGGGTCTCAGGCCCGGACAACCGGCCGAAATTGGTAAGGCGGATAATCAGCCTGCCTTGAAAAAACCCCTTATGGCAATACCACCAACGAGACAGTTTCATCTTTCAAAATATGTGTTCCTGAGGAATTCTTTGACAAACTATGCTCTGTCCAAAACTGACCAAAGCATGTGATTGTCAATGAATTCGAAGCAAAGAAAGAGAAAAGAAAGGACAGTTGGAATTACTCTTCCTAGGCCCGATTTGACCAATGCGCCTTCTACGTCTTCCAATTGAGTCCCAAAAAACTAACAAACTTCCTTGGTATCTCCTATCAGAACGCTAGAGGCTTACGCAGTAAGCTTCCTAAATTGTACTCTAATAGTGCCACATTTGCTTCCCAAGTGTTGTGTTTACAGAAACCTGGTTAAAGCAGGAGATTCTGAGATCCGAAGTTTTTAATGCTCTGTTCACAGTATACCGGCTAGATCGGACTATATTCCTCCATTGTCGGAACTATTCAGTTGGTCTCTAAAAGAATTTCGGGTAGGGACCACTTAATTAGTAGTTCTTGGTGATTTTAGCATCCCAGGGGCTATTTGGTCCCTAGGTAATTCCATTAGCCACAACACATCACAAAAAATATGGTTTACCAAAGAGCACCTCAATTAAACGGATAATTTGCCGAAGGTGGCGTAACGGAGTTCGCCGGGCTTACTAGTTTAATAATAAATAAACTACATACTTAATATTACATTTATATTTCAACAAAACTTGCCCTTCCTTCACAACTTCTCTAACAAAGTGATAGAGTATATCAATGTGCTTTGTTCTGGAATGATGAACAGGATTCTTAGTTAACGCCTGCGCACTCAGATTGTCTCCTTTCACGACGATCGGAGTGTCGTTGTCTTCACAGCCAATCTCCATTATCAGCCTTTGCATGACAATCGCCTCCTTGAATGCCGCCGCCTTGCTTGTACTCCGCCTCGGTACTGCATAACGCCACGCTTCTTTTCCGAACGCCAAGAGATCGGACCACCTGCTAACAGGTAGATGTAACCAGTATAAGACTTCCTGTCAAGTCTATCGCCTGCCAAATCCGCATCCACTTTTCCATAGAACGATTGACCACATTGCCGGTAGTGCAGTTTCATGTCAATTGTGGCTGAGAGGTATCTAAAGATGTGCTTTATGCCAGCCATGTGTTCAGCATGCGGGTTTTGGTTCCGTTGTGCCAATTTAGACACCGAATGCAATATGTCTGGCCTTGTTGTAAGAGCTAGCCACATAAACTCTCCCACTACGGACTGATAAACAGTAGGATCCACCTTTTTGCACTGCGGGCTTGTGCAATCTACTTGGAAACCAGCATCCAAAGGTGTCTTCGCCGATTTGCAATGTTCGCTTCCATGGGCATGCAATAAGTCCTTCATGTATTGCGTATGTCCCAAAGTAATCGCTCCAAGATCGCCGTCTTGTTCGATTTCCATGCCCAGGAAATGGTTAAGCGGACCCTTGTCAACGCACTCGAATGACTGTGAAATGCTGCTCTTGATTCTCAGCAAATCCTCGTGCGATTGACAAGCTATAAGTATATCGTCAACATATACAAGGATTATTGATAGATTACATTTTCCAAACTGCTTGTACAAACATGGCTCGTTGTCACAGGCAACGAATCCCATATCCAACAATACGCCATTTAGCTTCTCGTTCCAGGCCCTTCCTGACTGCTTCAAACCATATATTGCTTTCTTCAGCAGCAATACCTTATCAGGATTCTTTTCATCTGAGTAGCCATCCGGCTGCTTCATGTAGACCGTCTCACTCAGATCGCTGTTGAGATACGCCGTGCATACATCCATTTGGTGAAGATGTAGCTTGAGCTCCGCCGCCAGTGCAATAATGAATCGCACACTCTCCAATCGGCATACCAGCGAAAACGTTACTTGGTAATTTACGCCAAACTGCTGGGAGCATCCTTTTGCTACCAATCGAGCCTTGAAGCGTTCTATTTGGCCATCTTTATCACGCTTCACGTTGAACACCCACTTGCATCCAATTGCTCGCTGATTTTTGGGTAAATCAGTGATCTGCCAAGTCTGGTTGGCAACCAGAGAATCATATTCTCTTGCCATAGCGTCACGCCACTCCTTGGCATTTGTACTCTCCATCGCCTCTTTGCAGGATAATGGAATCGGAACATTTTCCGAAACAAGGGCGCCAAGGATGTTGTACTGCTTCTTAGGACGTCCAGGTTTTCCTGTCCGGATAATCTTTGGGCGACCAGGGCCCCTGGGTGCCTCCTCCACGACCTCCTCGTCCTTATCTTCAGCACTCTCGTACTGATCCGTGCTCTCATCTGAGCTGTCGGGATCGACGGATAAGTCCGAAACGATTTCTGTATCTCCGGGTCCCTGCTGCTGGCAGGTCTCTTCTGGTTCCTCCAGCTCAATCGTCACAGCATCACCCTTTGATGCCACGTCATGATGTTCGTACAGTCGATTCCCTTCGGCTGCCACAGAGTACCCAACCAAAATGTACTCTTTGCCCTTAGGTTGAAATTTGCTGCCCTTCCTCGGACCCTTGTCCAGAGTAACTGCAAGAGATCCAAAAACTTTTAGGTGTTTTACACAAGGTCTCTACCCGTTCACGCTTCCATAGGAGTCATACTCTCTAATGCGCTTGTGGAGGCGCGGTTTCTCAAATAAACCGAAGTGTTGACGGCTTCTGCCCAAAAAGAATCTCCCAGACCCGCTTGAACCAGAAGACATCTCGACATCTCCACTAGCGTACGATTTGCCCGTTCCGTAACTTCATTTTGCTGGGGAGTATACGCTATTGTTAGCTGTCTGTCAATTCCATGCTGCCTGAGACATTCGTCAAACTGTTTGTTGACAAATTCTCCGCCGTTATCACTCCGCAGGCATTTAAGCCTTTTTCCTGTCTGCCTTTCCACCAGATTCTTGAAGTCGATGAATTTGGACAGCACCTCGTTCTTCCCACGCAGAAAGTAAACAAAAATCTTCCTGGACTTATCGTCGATGAAAGTCAGGAAATACTTGGAGCCTCCGAGAGAAAGTGTTGGGAAAGGTCCACATACATCTGCGTGTATCAACTCCAAAAGCTCCTTAGCCCGATTACTTGTTGCTGTTGGGAAAGGTTGGACATAGATTTTGCTAATCATGCACGTTTTGCAAATAATATTCTCTGGTAACTGAATGTTATCTATCCTACGAACGATCCCTTTGGATACCATCTCTTTCATGCTAGAGAAATTAATGTGGCCGTAACTCTTGTGTATCATAACATCCCATCAACCGCCGACATAGCAAAACATTTACTGCGGCCACCTTCAAACAAGTACAAGTTGCCAATCTTTTTGGCTTTTACTATGCATTCTCCATCTTGCATCACCTTGGCATTCTCAATGTCAAAGGTCACCATGCACCTATTCCTTACAGCACTGCTCACGGAATAGAAATTTCCGGTCATCTTCGGAACGTAAAGAACGTTCTTCAGTGTCAACATGCACAGGCCTGTCTGTATCTTGACGTCACCTATACTTTCTGCTTGAAGGAAACCAGCATCGGCCAGTCCGATATGTTCCGTGTGCTTCTCAAACTTGGTGAATAGCTCTCTTACGCAACACATATGGCTTTTTGCGCCACTATCCAAGCATCATGTTGAATTGTCAATGTTGTTGACGTCACAGGCGTGCAGCAGGCTGCTTTGGCGATTCACCACATCTCTCGGTACCATGCGGTGATCTCCCTCACTCCGACACTGGGACTTAATGTGCCCTTGTTCACCACACTTAAAGCAAACGATAGGTTTTCGTTTCTTCTGCCCATAGCTCTTTGTCTGTAAGCTGTGCTTCTGTGTTGCAGCGAAAGCCTTAGTATTGTCGACTCGTTCATCTGCAATTCCTTTTTTTTCGCTCTCCTCCTTTAACTTTATGGTGAGAACCTCGAACGAAGGCAACTGATCTCGTGTCTCCATAGCAACCACGAAATGTTCGAATTGTTCTGGAAGGCTCGATAGCAAAACGATAGTGCGTAGTTCGTCGTTTAGCTCTATTCCAACTCCAGTTAGACCATCCAGAATTTCCATAAATTCACTTATGTATGTCGTCATGCTCTGCCCTTGCTCCATCCGTTTGTTGAGCAGTTTCTTGTACAACGCTTGGCTGATGAACCTCCTTCAACTTGGTCCATGCTTCCTCAGCCGTCAAGCAATTCTTGATGTAGGCCAATTGAGATGTCTCAATATTTGTAACTAGTTCGACCATAATATTGGTGCCAAACTTCCCCGTCACCGGCTTGGACGAAAAAATATTGAAGGCCATATGTGTCGGCAGCTTGTTAAAGCTGAGTTTCCTTTATACCTTGCAGGCGTAATGGCATAGATGTCCTCCTGCGTTACCCCAGGGGGAAGGTTGGAGGCGGTTGAGTTGGATGAGTTAGATGAGTTGAATAAGCTGGCGGAGTTTGATGAGCTGGTGGTGGTGAACTGATTCATCTTCTTGATTTTTATTGTTCTGATGATGTTGGGCTGGTGGTGGTGGCTGCTCGTCACGCTTGCTGGTCGCTGAATGATATTTTTCCCTGAATTTATACCCGCCAAGGAGCATATTTCTCCTCCCACTGCTATCCACTTGTACTATGGTATTTGGTTCCAAGGGATAGAACGTCTAGCTTTGTAAAAGGTCAAATTGTCCACTTCATGTGAAGTGCTCACGAAGGGTAAGGGGAGAATTACAGTCTAGCAAAAATTTAGGGCATAAGTGGTCACAGTTAAAAGTATCAAATTTTTGGAAACGCTGATAATTATATCTTATATTTTCCCCTAAATATCTAATTATTTCTAAAGGCGACTGCAAGTTACCAAAACTGTCGAAGTAGTACGAGTCTGATCCTTTCTTATAATACGCCACCCAATGCGTTCCTTCTGATGATGAGTCTGCTAAGTTTATGATTCCACACTCGGAATAATGTGGTACTTTGGGAATCTCATCTATTATATAAAAATAGGTCGTGTTTTCCATCCGGATGCTACTACTCCAGAACGCACGAACCGATTTCCACGGTTTTGCATTCGTTGGAAAGGTCTCGGAATTTGTGATTTTTGCAGTAAAGAAAATGTATGAAAATTTGCAACAGAAAAGCGGGAAAGTCATCTTTGCATAAAGCGCCATCACTGATACATAGCATGCCATAATTCTTTACTCAGTTTATTTTATGAAACAAACCGAAATGTGTTCAATTTTGTGAAATTGTGAAGAAAAAGTAAAAAAAAAAGTTATTCGTTTCCTAACAGTGCAATTGGAAACCAGCATTTGTCTTTAAGGTGGTAAGTTGAACTGTGTAAATTATGTGGATTTGAGGTTAAATTAACCATTCTGCCTATAGTCCTTGATCAAGACCAACCCAGAATTCCCTGGATAGTTCAACAACGCTATGATCCAAGTATTTCTGAAATAAGCCGACACTGCCATCGAATCGCTGCAGAATTACTATCCAATCCATTGAGAATATTCTCAGCTATTGCCGGCCTGTCTTCGTCCACGATTTTAACTAATTTAATATTGGGCACTTTCGAATGGTTTAGTAAAAAAAATGGTGCATCTGAAATTGGGAATTTTTAGCATTTAAGGCAAACTTAGGACACTAAGCTTTTACGGAATTAACCTCATATAACGTTTTTTTCAAGAAAAATTACAACAGAAAAGGTGGTAAGTTGAACTGTGTAAATTTAAGGTTTAATTAACCGACCTGCCTATACCAAAATGCCTAGAGCACGACGTTTGAACATCGGTCTACGCACAAGGCATGCAAGCCAGCAACAAGTGTATTCATAGAACTTAAGCCAGGAAAGACGAAATGTAGTAAGGGAAAATGTCCGATTGAGACAACGCGGGAGCGGGTGCATGGCATAACGCCCAGTGTCATAGCGCCCTTGGGCGTTCTGTCACTTTTAAAATTATCATATCGCCCGCGGGCTTTCCGTCACATTTTGAAAGTGTCATATCGCCTGCGGGAGCTATGTCATTTTTCTTGTGGGCCTTATGACACTATGAGAAGTGCATTAACGCCCGAACCTAATAATAATGAAATACTGGTATAAATGGCCGCCCAGCATAATTTTTTGGGAGAATCGAGTGCTCAATATTGTAAGAAGCGCCGCAGGAAATAATGATTAAATGAAATAAATGACATGTTAACACAATTTTGTATTTAAATTTACTTTATTAAAAGCGCGCGATTTTTATAATAATGTTTGCTTGCTTAATATCGTAAGAAGCGCCGCAGGCAAAAATTTGATTGTATTATAATGTTTAAGCAGGACGATATGAACCTTCGTCACATATATCGAGATCATGTTCATTTTGATATGAATTTTGAAATTTTACGAAAGTGCTGGGACGACAAATTCGGATTTCTTGTAATCTCTAAAGCCGATGATATGAAAGCTGGACGATATAGAAAAGGATTCAACCAATTTATTATACTTGAATAAATAATAATGATAATATAAATATAATAATATTATTGGGAAAAAAGTCAGTTCAGACTCAAGCATCATAATGACTACATCATTGACAATAGCTCTAAATGGCAATACATCTGTACTTAGCGAGAATTTTTTCCCACAAATTGAGCTAAAACGTAATTATGAATGTGCTTTAATTGATTTTTATACATTCAATTCTAAACCGAATGATGATAACGGGATCAACCTATTTCATATTGGGAATAAAGTCATTGAAATACCAATTGGCTCATATGAGTTTGATGATATTTCAAAATATATTATTAATAAGCTCAAGGAGTATGAGCTTCAAGACAGTATAAAAATAGAATATAATATCAACACTTTACAAGTTCAAGTTGTTACTAAAAATGAGACGGTATATTTTAATCATGAACGATCAATTGGTCGTTTATTCGGATTTAATAAACGAAAATTAAGACCACATGAGAAAGAAGTTTACATCTCGGATAATCCTGTGAATATTTTAAAAATAAACTCTGTTAGATTGGAATGCAACATTATAAGCGAGTCATATGTAGGGAATAGATCAAATCATGTGCTTCATGAATTTGGAATCAATGTCCCCCCTGGATATAAAATGAACATTACACCACGAAATTTGATTTATTTACCTGAGAACACCAGAGAAATAAGCACACTCGAAATACGGATAACTGATCAGGACGGAGATTTAGTTAATTTGCGTGGAGAAACTGTATCAATTCGTCTCCACTTACGACCGACAGAATGATTATTTACATTAAAAGGGGTACTCATCGGTCGATTGATAACATTATCAAATCTAAATCTGAAGTGAAAGCACCATCATCTTCACATCAACGGCCGGCCCTCACATTAAAAAATAAATTGATTTTGAAATCGCTGGGATTTAATATTAAATAAAGTTTATGAACTAATATTCAATTGAATGAGATCTCTTATGTCCAGGAAAAGCCTGCTAACAGAACTTCAAAGCAAATGATGAAGTACGGATCATTTTGCAAAACCAAGATTTGTATGTCCTTCCATTTGAAAGTTTTCGACACTTTGAAGGAACGCTTAGCCAAATTATTGACTCAAATACAGGAACGACTAGTACAAATGGCGTTAGCGGTTTGCTCAAAAATAATTGTATGGCCTATTTTCTGGATGAAATAAGATATGAGTTAAATGGGTGTGAATTGGATAGGACGCGGTTTACTGGAATCACAACGACTATTAAGAACTATTTCTCAGTCGGCCAACATGACTGTGGGTTGGAGTGGCGGGGACAATATTCCACTGAGCTTACTCTTGCGAGTGAGATAAATACAAAGGCATATTGCCTTCTCATCCATGATCGAGTAGTTGAATACTCACCATTAACTGGATTGGTTCAACGTATCGTGTTACAATTTGAAAAGGATTACTTCATTTAAATCTCATCTGTGTCTGACTGAGATTTTTTCAGGGAACGGACACGCGATGGTGTTATCATTGTGGTTAAATCCGATCTGGTTTCTAATATCATTTCTAAAACTGACACTGATCTAGAGTTTGTGGCGGTTCGTACCCAGGTTTAGGATTATTCTATCTACGTTTCATGTTCGTATATTCCACCTAGGTCTGACATTGATATTAATACGCAGCATTTATCTTTAATTCAAGAAATTCATTCTTCCCTTGGTTTTAATGACCACCTTATCGTCACGGGTGATTTCAATCTGCCCTCCATTTCCTGGATGCCCTTACCTGATTTAAACTCTTGTTCCCACCTCACCCCACGATTTAATTCATGGTCTCATTGACCACTCATTGGGACAATTAAACTTCGTTAGGAACTGCAGTAATAACGTCTTAGACCTTATCTTTGTCTCTGAGTTTGCCAATGCCTACTTCACTATAATTGAACCACCTTTTATCCTTTATTTTATTATTTATTGGACTTTCTATAATTGAACCACCTTTTATCCTTTATTTTATTATTTATTGGACTTTCTTGAACTCCACAGAGGATCCATCAGACATCGTTAAGCGTTTTTATAAAATAATGTACGCAGTTTTCGACATGTATGTCCCTTCATTTCCCTCACCAAAAGTTTCTTATAAGCCCCCTTGGTTTTCTCGTCGGCTTTCTTATCTAAAAAAATCTGAAATCCAGACTGTTTAAAAAAGTAAAGCAAATCTGGTCTCCAAGTCGACCATTCGAGATATTTTACTGCTAATACAAATTTCCTTGCACACAATTTTGAATGCTACAGAAACCACTTAAATCGGTGCAAAATCGAGTTTCAGGCTAACCCGAAGCAATTTTACGCTTTCGTAAACTCGAAACGGAAATCTCAACAATTTCCATCCTGTCTTCATTTCGATAATGCCTCCGCTTCCAATGAGCCTGATATCGCGAACCTGTTCGCAAAATTCTTCCAGACTACATACTCACAAATTAATTTTGATAATAACTCAGAGTATCAGTGAAGATGATGTTCTTCAAAATCTCAGAACAATCAAACTTTCCTTCTCTTCTGGTCTAGATCTTGTACCTAGCTGCGTTTTGAGAAATTGTGCCAGCTCATTATGTAGACCCCTGTCTAGACTTT